AAGCAGCAGTACGCGGTGGAAAGAGCATCATGGCAAGCCAGGTGGCCAGGGTTTGGGCCCACATTTGCCACTGGTTACTGTGAGACCTTGGCATACTTTTGCCCCATTCTGATTCCCATCTCTCCACAAGGGTGTTGGAAAGAGCATCGTGGCAAGCCAGGTGGCCAGGGTTTGGGCCCACATTTGCCATTGGTTACTGTGAGACCTTGGCATACTTTTGCCCCATTCTGATTCCCATCTCTCCACAAGGGTGTGGCCTAGAGAAGGTTCCTCAGGTCCTTTCTAAGGATGCTCTCCGAGGACTCTGACAGATTGGCCTGGTGAGTCCCTTCTAGCCTCCGAAACACTGTTAGAGAGGCACCAGCACATCCAACATGGCATGACGTCAGCCAGCCCCGACCTTGGGGAGCTCAACTACACCATCACCAAAGAGATTTTTAAAACAGAAATTCAAAAGCCATTCTCAGGCACCTTGCCACTCTCACAGTTATTACTTCATTTGATTCTCACCACAGCCCTGTTTATAGTGATGGAACTGATGATGACTGAGTTCAGTGACCTGGTTATACAGCCTGGATTGCAGCAAAACCAGTCTGGAAGTCTGCTCTTTTGAGCCCCGATCCTGCACATTTGCCCAACTCTCTGGTGCTGGAATAACTCAGCACACACCAAGTCCACTGTCCTGAACCCAGAAGCCAGGAGCTCACTGCCTGCCCAGGATCTGCAAACATCAGCGCTTGAGGGCGGCCGTGGATGGGCCAGGAAGCCATCATCCAGGAAGCTTACGGTTCACAGCATGGGCTCTGGGATGAGCTATAACTGGGTCAGAATCCCAGATCCAACATCCACCAACCATGTCACCTTGGTTCGCCTCTCTGAGCCTCAGTTTCCTCATTTGTCAAGTGTAATAATGTTACCAACACCCTGTTCTATGAGGGTCCAGTGATTGCATGTATGTAACGCCCATAGCACAGTACCTGCCACATAACGAGCGCTCAATAAATGTTGGCCACACAGCACCACACTTATTCAGGGCCTCCTAGAATTTAAGGAGCTAGATACACA